CTGCGGGAACCACTTGGGGTAGCAACAGAGTCATGGACTGTGAGCTTCTCAAGGAAATCGCCAATTTAAAAGGGAAAACGGTAGCTCAGGTATGTCTAAGATGGGCTTATGAACAAGGTGTGAGTGTAATCGTGAAGAGTTTCAACGCCGAGAGAATGAAGCAAAACCTGGAGATATTCGATTGGTCATTGAGTGAGGATGAGCTGAAAATGATCCATCAAATCCCACAAAGACGATGCTGCCGTGCTGAAAAATTCGTGTCCGAAGACGGTCCTTTCAAGACCCTCGAGGAACTTTGGGATGGAGAGTTTGATTTGCAATGATCTTTTCGTTGCACTTACCGTTTATGTAGTTTGCGATATAAACCAATATTTCATTACAATTGTTATAAGCATGTTCAATCTAATGCCCTGGATATAGTTATGTTTTAATATTTAAATTTGTAATAATCCGGAGTTAAAGTAAGAATAAACTAAATTAAATGGTAATTAAAGTTTTTCATTTTTTCTATTAAAATTTTAAAATTAACGAATTGATCACTAATGTTAACAATTTATAACAAATCAATAATTCTTCATTAACGTAGGTAGGGATGTAAAATCGGATAATCGTTCAGGTTTCAGTCGGATCCTGTCAGGTCGGGTAAAATCAGATACATGTCAAGTCATGTCAATTTGATGCTACGACTCGGATCAGGTCGAGTCTAGGTCAAATCAGACCGGGTCCAGATCAAATCAGGTAGGATCATTTTCAGGTTGATTTGACACCAGGTTCAGTTCGAATCGATGTCAGTTCAGGTCAAAAAAATTTAAGTCTGAAGCAGTTAAAGACCATTTTAATTCAAGTTCGGATGGACTTCAGGCGGATCTAATTCATTTTCAAGTCTTACATCACTCTATCTCATTCCTTCTCTGCCTAATAACATTTGAAGTCTTAGTAAGAGTGAGATTGGTAGTAATCCTTAGCTTCAATAAACTTCTCCAAGTCCGGTTACCCTCTGCTTTCACACTCACTTATCAAAAGATATATCCCTTAAGCACATACTCGTAGATCCATGCAATTTATAATAAACTTTCCCTTCTTAAAATTGATTTGATGAGCATAAACAAGCAAGTCTTATTCCAATGCACCAAATCTTTGAGCCCCAAACTATTCCTTCAGTCTTTGGACAACAAATAGCATTTTAACCCTTTTATTCCACACGAGATTTCTGGACCATGGAAGGACCGCAAAATGCAAGCTGGAGCTTCAATCGAATGCTGAAAATCAGAAGAGTTGCCCAAACAATGCTTGTAACAGCAGCAAAAACCACTAAGGATATTTGGAACGAGATTCGTCCTAAAGAAACTAAAGTCCCATGGCATTAATTAATCTGGTATCCCCTTCATGTACCGAAGCATAGCTTAATTTCTTGGTTGGTTATTCTGGGTCGGCTCCCCACTAAGGACAGACTGCAAAGCTTTGGTCTTATTACCAATGATCTCTGCATCTTCAGTTCGGAAGCAAAGGAAACTAGAAACCATCTCTTTGCCGAGTGCTTGAAGACAGCTTCCATTTGGAGATCAATCATTCAACTTTCTGGTTTGAGCATGCATTTCTCGACTTGGCCTAACCTGTTGGAATGGGCGACATCTACATGGAAAGGTAATTCATTGATCTCTTGCATTCTTAAGCTATCATGGTACGCCTTTAATTACACCATTTGGGAGGAAATGAATCGAAGGATATTCAAAGGAATTTGCAGAACCGAAGAGAGAATTATCAATACTATTAAGGAGATAGTTGGATCTCTTCTAAGTAATAGGAATATTAATAGATTAGATAGTATAAATTTAGCTCTTTGTAACTTTTGGGGTATAATCTAATTTTGTTGTAAATAGATCCCCGTTCTTGCTCCTTTGATTGGATTGTTTTGTTAGCAGCTTACTGCTATTTTGGGTAATAAAATCTTGATTATAAAAAATCGCATTTTAATTAATTCGTGCCCCTTTTCCAGCCTCATATTTATTCTTTCAAAAAAAATTACACACATTTGATTAATACGATTAATAACAGTCATTTGAAGAACTAACTACCTACTCTAATACAGTGATTGGAAGAACTAAGTACCTACTTTAATGACAGTCGTTCCACCAACTCTACTAATTTTAAATGATTTAGCCTCAATTTTGACCACAAGAGGCTTACAATATTTTATATAGTAAACCTCCTCGTAACTAAGGGAATGTCCGAGTAACGAACTGACAACTTTCCAAGATTACTACCTACATCCTTCTCAATCATCTGCAAGAACTAGAGTAGTACCATTAAAAGCAGCGTGCATAAAGTCATGCTTGAAAAAAAATATTGCACTGCATTCAACAATAGGTATAACGATCGAGTTCAAGGGCTCTTATTCCCACTTTAATCTAACATAGACTTCTTAATCTCCTCCAATAAGAGGCAGTGTGCAATATTTTATTTTCTTTTTAAATAATTAAATTAAAGTTTAAATTATCAAATCAATTTGAACCCAATACTAACAGTTCAAATGAATTTTATTTTAGGAATGACTTCTATTTAATGCTTTTATTTTCAAACGAGGTAAATATAAAACATTTTATTATAAAATTAACATTTAATTAAAAATTAAAATTAAAAATAAATTTGATACTACAGAGTAATTATATATCCAGTAAAGTATACAAATGATCCCTTGACTATAGGATATTGCTTTATTAAGTCCATCGACTATTAAAAGTTACAAAATGGTCCTCTGACTATAGAATGTTGTTTTGTTAAGTCCCTCGACTATTAAAAGTTACAAAATGGTCACCCGACTATTCATTATGTTCCAAACTCATTATTTTCCGTTAAAAAATTAGATGTTGTTTAAGTTGGAACATGATGATTGAGACATGATAGTTATTTGAGATTTTGGGATAAAATTTTATCATGTCACAGTCAGTAGGATAACGTTTAGTTCAGAATATCGTCAATTTTGGAACATAGTGAATAGTCGAGTGACCATTTTGTAACTTTTAATAGTCGAGTGACTCAACAAATCAACACTTTATAGTCAGACAATTATAATTTTTAATAATCGAAAGACTTAATAAAATAGTAACCTATAATCGAAGGAATATTTATGTAATTTATCCATATTATTTTAATTTATAAGGAAATAATCGAGGTACTTAATAGAAATCAAAACTAATCAAATACATAAAAGATGTTAAACGTTTGAATCTTGCATCATTTTATATATTATACCAACAATATATTAATTAAGTTAAATTTAATTTTTTTAAAATTTAAAAAAATTAAATCTTTATTTAAGACAAAAATATAATGTATTACCTAAAATATTATCAAATGGTATATAAAATTATTGAAGAACTTAGAGTTTCTTATCACAGGAGGATATAGTTTTAATTAGGGGTGTTCAAATTTTGATACCCGGTTTTCGGGTATCTGGGTCTTTAGATTTTTTAGTCCGTATCCCGACTCGAATGTTGTGGGTACTCAATAAGAATCAAACCTATATCTGAAGGGGAGAATAACCAGGCACCCAAACCATTGGGTTAAGGGTCCCAAATGGTTTTAATTTACAACAATTTATATTTTACTTTCAAAAAGTTTGTTAATGATAAAAAAAATCGGTTAATTCAATTCGGTAAACAATTTTCAAATAAATTTCGGTTCGATTAACGGTTAAGGAAAAAATAATTTATTTTATTTGGTTAATAATTTTCAAATAAATTTCGATTTGATTAACGGTCAAATAATTTCGATTCGATTAACGGTTAAATAATTTCGGTTCGATTAATGGTTAAAGAAAAAAAATCGGTTGATTTGGTTCGGTTAATAATTTTCAAATAAATTTCGGTTCGATTAACTGTTAAATAAAAATAATTTAATTTATTTGGTTAATTCGGTTAATAATTTTCAAATAAATTTGGGTTCGATTAACGGTCAAATAATTTTGGTTCGATTAATGTTTAAAGAAAAAAATTTGGTTAATAAATTTCAAATAAATTTCGGTTCGATTAACGGTCAAATAATTTCGGTTCGATTAATGTTAAAGAAAAAAATTCGGTTAATTTGTTTTGGTTAATAATTTTCAAATAATTTTTGGTTTGATTAACGATCAAATAATTTCGGTTCGATTAATGTTAAAGAAAAAATTTTGGTTAATTTGGTTCGGTTAATAATTTTCAAATAAATTTCGGTTCGATTAACGGTTAAAGAAAAAAAATTATTTAAACAAATAATTTGTTTATTTTTTATCATTAACAAACTTTTACAAGTCAAATACAAATTGTTGTAAGTTAGAATCATATAGGACCCTTAGCCCAACGGTTTACGCGCTTGATTATTCTCCCCCATAAACACAAGTTCGATTCTCCTTTGGCGCATTGTTGTGTCTTCAATTTTCCATTTCAATCAGGGTGGTGACACATGTCATATTCTAATTGGATAGTTAAATTTATTTAATTGAATTAAAATCGTGACTAAATTCATATAATATGTAAATATTAAGGACCAAATGTATAATTATTCTAATATTAAGGACCAAATATATAATTATGCCAATTTTATTAACAGACACGTCAGCAAGTCTGTTTTTTTAACGGAGAGTGGTCTGATTGAATCAATTTAAAAGTTTAGTGGTCGAATTGAGATAAAAAATAGTTTGGTGACAAGATCAATTAATGACCATTGTTTGGTTGTCACCCATGTAATTTACCTTTTTTTAGTTCGTGTCATTGGATCGTCGGATTAGATCAATCAGATCTCGTATTTTTACAAGAATCGGCGGCCATAGAGGAACGGAACATAAACGGAGTAACAACTCTTTAGAAACAACTAAAATACTAAATCCAAAAAGAACAATCCGACCAACAAAAAAGAAACAAAAACATAGCCAAAATCATTACATTTAATTCTCTCCTCACGTCTTCCTCCTCAATCCCGGCTCTTTCATTGCTGTCACGTTTCCAACATTGATTCCTCTCAACATGCTGCTTCTGTTGCCTTTCTCTTCTTCCCAGGCTTCGCCTCAAAATATTGAAGTCCTCTACCCAACGCAAACGCCGCCACCACCGTGGTCGCCATCAACAACAACATCGTCTTCGGGGAACGAAGCCGACGGTACAATTGCAAAGGCAGTAGCTGTTACCGCCGGGATCACTATTGTCATCGCCGCAGTATTCTTCTTTTTCATCAGAAGATATGATCTTGCTCAAGGCAAAAGGGAGAGAGTTGGGGATAGTTCCCGGCCGAGGGTGCCCCTGGATGAGTTCGCTAGAGTCGATGGCAATATAAAGGGTTTAATCGTGGATGAAAATGGCTTGGATGTTCTTTATTGGAGGCAGCTTCAAAACGAAGCTGCCATGAATGGGTTCCAGCTAGAAGTTTTGCATGTTCCAAAGGATGAAGAAGAAGAAGAAGGCGGAGATGGCGGTGGAATGTTTCGGAAAGGAGATCGAAGCAAGAAGATAGAGCCGACCAATGAATTTCCTTTGCTTCGTGGGAAATCTTCAGCTTCCCATGTTCCACCACCACCAATGCCACCGCCGCCTCCACCAAAATCCCCCGCCCCGCCTCCACCTCCACCTAAGAAAGCCGGCGGTTTAGTTACGTCCTTGAAACCTCCTCCGGCAGCCAGAAATAACTCCGGTAGGTGTAAAGCGGGGGAATCTTCTGGAGATGGTGACGATTACCAGGTGAAATTGAAGCCATTACACTGGGATAAGGTGAACAAGAAGCATGCCGATCATTCCATGGTGTGGGACAAAATCAATGGCGGATCTTTTACGTAAGTTTTTCACTTTTCATCTTCACCATTTCTCGAACTATTAAGCCGACTCTGCTCTTTTTCTGACCAAAAAATGCAATTGATTCTTCACTTCTTCAGGGTTGATGATAATCTTATGGAGGCTTTATTCGGGTATGTGGCAACCAATAAGAAATCTCCTACAAGTGAAAACAACTCAAAGAGCGCTAGCCAACCAGCACAGATCATGGTTCTCGATGCCCGAAAATCCCAGAACATTTCAATCGTGCTTAAATCTCTAGCCCTATCTCGTAATGAACTGCTTGATGCCCTCAATGAAGGCCAAGGTCTCGATGCTGATACTCTTGAAAAGCTCGTGAGAATTGCCCCCAACGAAGAAGAACAATCCCAGATCCTCGATTTCGACGGTGATCCGACGAGACTTGCCGGTGCTGAATCTTTTTTGTTCCACATTTTAAAAGTTCTTCCATCGGCCTTCACACGCCTTAATGCCATGCAGTTTAGATCAAACTATGACTTGGAAATTCTCCACATGAAGGAATGTTTACAAACTCTAGAGTTAGGCTGCAAGGAGCTTCGTTCTCAAAGGCTGTTCATGAAACTCCTCGAAGCAATACTCAAGGCCGGCAATCATATGAATGCCGGGACTGCCAGAGGCGATGCTCAAGCTTTTAACCTTACGTCGCTACTTAAGCTCTACGACGTTAAAAGCACCGATGGAAAGACTACTTTACTCCACTTTGTGGTCGAAGAAGTAGTCCGGTCACAGGGAAAGAAATGCTTTATTAGCCGAAGTCATAGCCTAATTCGCAGCAGCAGCAGCAATAGCATCACCGGCAATTCGACATCGAAGGTGGATCGAAAGAATGAATACATAATGCTCGGATTACCGGTGGTAGGAGGCCTCAGTGCTGAGTTCTACAACGTGAAGAAAGCAGCCTCTATAGATTTCTACACATTCTCAGACACATGCTCAGCTATTGCTGCTGGCGTAGCAGAAACCAAGCAGCTTGTATCACAATGTATGGCCGATGGAAAAGGGGGATTCGAGCAAGAAATGAAAGGGTTTATCGACGATGCTGAAGCCGAACTGAAGGTGTTCAGAGAAGAGAAAAAGAGAGTGATGGAAATTGTAAGAATAACTACAGAGTATTATCAAGCGGGGTCTTCGAAGGATCCTTTCCAAGTCTTTGTTATCGTTAAAGACTTCCTCGGCATGGTCGACCAGGCGTGCCTCCAAATAGCTAGGAACCAACAAAGCAGGAACGCACCAACAACTGCAAATAATGGGCCACAATCACCAAACTCACAGGGATCGAGAACCAAAATGAGGTTCCCCTTGTTGCCATCAAATTTCATGTCGGACAAGTCGTGGAGCAGTTCCAGCGAATCGGATGAAGATTCTTGACCGCAACAGACATTCATAGTAAAGATCAGGCAGAATTTTATACTATAGGTGGACGAATTTATACAATTTTAAGGCATACGAAAGACAATGTTTAGGTAAAGAATCTTTACTATGAATTGATCTTTACTATGAAATTTCTAAAGAATTGATCCGAGTGCCAAACTTCAATGTTTGGCAATGACATAAGACCCTGATGCTTCAAACCCCACCATTTTAATTTGTTTACGTAAATCATTTCATTCTTCGTAACTTCTTTGAGGGGAGTTTGATGGGTGTCTACATGACCTAGCTCTAGTGAGAAAAGGTTTGTTGAGTGTCAAAACTAAGGTATCGTCATGATAGCTACAAGGTAACATATATATATGTAGTTTATGGGAATAAATGAGTTACGATGAATATAAAATAAATATGTCATCTTTTTAATTTGATTGAAGAATATAAATCGGTGTTGGTGTTTAGATCATTTATCTTCGTAAAGAGATAGGAGGAAGATGAGTAAGAAATGGCTCCAGGTCTTTTTTATTGGTCTTAACTTGAAAGTCGGTAAATATGTTTTTGTCTTTGACTCTGTCTTACATGGACTTTTCTCACCTATCGCATCTTCAGATTGTTTCAACAGACTGTTTTGGATGGTTGGCATGTTGAGGTCCAAGGCAAAAATCTTATTTTCAAGTTCGAGTTAGCTGCGGCTGTTAACCGACATTGTAAGTTTTATAGGCTGCACCAGATCATATCACAAACGGGTTGTCACTGAAACTTGAAATTGATTCAATCTCAAATGTCAAGCAGGATTTGATACATCGATACACACTCGGTGGTGTTCTTGTTGTCCACATTTTAGATACACCACGATATATTTTTTCTACTACTATATCTACCAACTTGATGCCCGGATGGACGCATCCAATAGTAGAACCTCAAAATAGCCTATAGATTTAAAAGCATAAATTTAACTTTCGGTCGCAGTCTTGCGTTTTTCTACTACTATATCTACTGTATTTTTGACGTTGGATCTTATACCATATTGGGTTTTTTGCCCGGAAACGTAGTTAGCCTCCGAAGCCGACGTACACCTCTTGTTTTCTTCCATCCCATCCTTGGAACCAATCTGTGAAATTTCAGACAAGAAACATGTTAAGTTTCAGTACCAACTTATAGACCTGAGGAAGCCAGGTTACCGATGCATGTCCGCTCCACCGGACTGACATCAATCCTAAAACAGCATAGCAATAAAATGACAAGCATCACTATCTCTACAAAAACTGACTGATTTGTCCCAACTAGTTCCTCAACTTGAAAGTCCAGCATTACATTGCAATCGCAGCTTTGTTATTCGGATCAGGACTGCTGGTTTGTACCATCTAGCCGCTGATTATCTTAAACGGAACTTATATAATAATTGGGGTTTGAATGACTCCATATTAGCTAAAAGTTACTGTGTACTTGTTTGATGGCTGTACACTTGTAGCAGTTCTACTGCTTTTCATCAGACAACAAAACCGCTAAAATCCAGGAAAGAGAAATACTTAAATAGCAAAATCATGAAAGTTTATGTTGGATCACAGCAATCAAACTACATGCAGTGGGAAACAAGGGAACGGCACAAGGAAATACCTTATCGAGAGGGCTTTTTGATGCTCTCTGTCCATGGTAAAAACCTGGAAGGGGTGTAGCTTTAAAATTAAGGCTCTTCCTTAATTTTTTGATCTCTGCATCTCTGTTATCCTGTGTCAATTACATAGTGTTGAGCAATGGACATTGTCTAAATTAATAAAGCATATGCCAGTAAGTACATCTAAGAGTGATGGCATTTTCTTTATCTTAGAAACCGACAACCAAACGGCCTGTCCGGTTAATATCTCTATCTTATGTCTGATTCATTACAGGACATCCTCAACAAAGGAAGTTAATGGTACCATCGATTTCGTCTGTAGGTGTCTTCTTGCTGCTTCCCTATCATTGGATTTTCCTTCCGGTTTCTTGGAGAACTGAAATAAAGGATATGAAATGTCGAGATTCTAAATTAGAGATGAACAATGTGCATCAATATCGAAACAAATAGTGTTACGAAGGGAATAGAAAGGAGGAGTCTTCATTGCTTACCTCCTTTTTTCTGTCGGCTCGTTCATCACTTTTCAAGCCGGAATAAGATGGAGCAGCCTTAGCATTCTTTTTCTCCATGCTACTAACTCTACAAGACCTGTCACAAACCAGTTAATGCTGCTTATAACTATTAAACGTAATATTTTAAGAATTATTCGCACTTCCTCTAGAAGAAATCGAGAAACTGATGGTATGAATTTTAATTACAGGCAAGCTTATGTGGACCTGCCAATTTAAGGCCATGAAGAAGCTAAGTGTGCTTGAAGTAAATGACTTGTGTACACACATATATACATATCTGAGTTCTCACATGCTCAATGATAGCTTTTCCAAATTTTGACACTGTCATCTCCCTATTAATATTAGCTTTAACAGAAGAACTAGTTGTACACAAATTCACCAACGTATGCATTAGTCATTCTGAAATCTTTCGACTTAGAAGCTTACCCGCCATTCTCCTTTTGCGGAGTCATCAAAGTGGGAACCCTCAATTCTCTCCCCTTCGCAGGTACCTGCAAGAAATGTTGAAACAAAAGATCCATGAATTTGAATTCAGCAGTAAAAGAGATGTCAGGTAGATCTTAAGGATCAAAACTTCCAAAAGATAGCATAACACCGTTTTTGCTGCGGCAGATTGTTCCCGACTGAAAGGTTTCAATTGATTATAATTACTCTGAAATGTCTTAAATGCTCGCTTGACAATGTCCTTATCTCCCATTTTCTCCATAAACAATGATTTCCTTGTTGCAGGAAGGGAAGCCGGGCCAGGGATCGAGGGATCTAAACTAAGAGAAATGTGCAAGGATATAGGAATCACTTTCTTGCTTTGTTCATTAGCAGAATTCTTGGTCTTAGTCGATGAATAAGATAATGTAGTTCCTGCTTTCGATCGAGGTCTCGGAGCAGACGACGTAGGTGTTAATGTCGGCTTTGATGCTCTAGATGTGGTAGCTTGTGGTGTTTTAATCACAGGGGAGGCAGGTTTCTTCTTCGGCCTCGAATCATTCCTCTCCTTATTCACTGCTATGATCTACACAACAAATTCATTTGAGTCAATCTTTTCCAATATACAAAACATCAATAAAAAAACATGATGATGATGATGATGATGATGATGATGAACTCGCCCTATGAGATTTTGCAGATTGATCCAATTTCAAGTTTTTATCTTCGATCTCGGGAGTACTGTCGACGATATTTTCCGATCTCTGAGATAACTCGATAACATCTCGAGACTCCTGTGAAGGAGTTTCCATTTCTTTTTTCGCCAAAAAGGCTCCTTCAACTTCAAGAGAAGTTTCTTCTGGTTTGTTTAACTCATCAGGACTTTCCACTGTTTTCTCTTCATTCTCTACCGTGCTATTTATTATCTCTTTCAATTCCTCAACCCATGAATCTCGACACATTGTGGCAATTTCAGGCACCTGATTCGGCTCATCTCCTTCATTAACCTCACTCAAAAAGTTAATCTCTTGCTTATCTACTTCATGGCCATTAGATTTACGAATCGGATCTCCTTCATCGGGTTTCTCTTGAGCCAGTAGCTCAGCTTTCCGAGCAGCAATCTTCTTGTAATGTTCTTCAAAGTAAGCCTTTTTCTGGGCAACTGATCCAGGAGTAGCACATTTTTCAACCTCTTCCAAGTACCTGTTTGGGGAGAAAGTCGACCATTTCTCCCAAGAAAGTGAATCATTCTCAAATCTACCAAAAGAGACCGACACTTCAAGAGCTGGATTTGAAGAACTCATTGCCTTTAAATCAAGAATGACAAAGGAGTTGTAAGCAATTATGAGTGCGAAATTCCCAATAACAAACAAAATTAGATTCAACAGTACACAGTGATGGAAGAAGGTGAATTAAAAACAAAGGGACCAACAACCAACTCTTTTTTTCAGATCAAAAGGACAAAGTGAAGACCCTAAAATTCTTTACTTGAAGAGATTTAAATTCCCAACACCACCATGAAAACTTCAAGCTTGGGTCACTAAAAAGACCCAATGAGAATCTTCGAAGAAATTGAAAAACCAAATATGACACAAAAGAAACGATTAACGGAAGGCATGTGGTGGCCTATGTGTATAAATTTAAGAATTTAAGCCCCCACACACAAACACTTTCTACTATCATCACATTCACCTTTTCATATTAAAAAGTAGAAAACTTTGTTTCTAGTACTGTGGAAAGGCCCAAAGCAGAAAACAAAAGGTACCCAAAGTTGATTTAGCTTTGGAGCTTGTTAATAGCATATTATCCTGAATAGTTACTCATGTTTGAAGTAGCAAAACAATGGGGAAAATTTTCCAGCCAAAATCTGGACTAAATAAAAAAGAAAATAAATCTTTAATAAAAAAATTGCATATATTATACACTTTCTTTAAAATATAATATTATGATTATATTTGATATACTAAATAACATTATAATATGAAAGAATAAATATATATATTATGGTTAGATAAAATTAAAAAAATAGAACAAATCATTGACATAATACTATAAACAATTATAATAAAATTAGTATAGAAACTTGAATAACTCGACTCGAATAACTCTACTCGATTCAAAAAATTCAAGTTAAGTTTGAATTGTAAAATACGACTCCTCAACTTGAATAACTAAATTTTTTTTACTTGACTTGATCGAATGATCACCCTTACATGTGGCCTCGCGAACAAAACCTAGTCGACTTCGTTATCCCCGTTACTTCCTTCGTCGTTCGTCATTGAGGGTAAGGTCGGTTATTTCTTTCGATTTTTTTACTTGTGCTTTTGGCATGGAGTTGACTGATTTTGGATTGATATTGTCAAGTAATTGCTTCAGGCCCTCAACAGGCCCTGTCACCAGCACACGCACCGCCCCTACACGTGGGGCTCTTCAACAACCTAGGGAGACTTCTAGAAATTGGTATGTTCAAACTGGACCGACCCAAATCGTAATGAATCGAGTCTGTCTGAACCAATCGGTCCATCCAAATCGGTAAATTGAATCGTTGATTTTGACATGACCGTTGATCAGAATTGACTTTAACTTTCATAAAAAAGTCAAAATTTCTAAAAAATGATATTCTATGTTTTTCGATTTATGAGTCTGAATTTGAAGTCTGTTTCGTCAAATTCAAATTCGGTAAGCTGTTTTTTATATTTTATCTGTCGATTTGATACGAATTTCCACGTCTATGTTTCGTTTTTGATGCAATTTGTTTTGCCATTTATCGAGACATTGTAGACGTGGAATTAAAGATCGAGGGCGATCGAATGGATTTTAATAGACCAACCAATATGGATTAAAAAGTGAGGTAATACTCTACTACCTTTTGTATGTTTTTCGGAACTATTTGATAATTGGTAAATGCGTGAATGGAAATGATTGGTGAATTAGGTGTATTAAATATTGTTGGACTTGAACTGAATACGGAAATAAAGGCAGAACACTATATAAGACTCAGATGGCACGCTTGAGAAATTGGAAGATCGATCAGAAACAATTCTAAACTCAATGATTAATTAGTAAATAAATTGAGCACAGGATTCGTAAATTCTAATTCATTTTTTAAAGGTTAAATGTTGGGAATATTTGTTTAAGAAATTACAAAAATAACTCTATAGAATAAAATTACATAAATGTCATTGTATTACAAAAAGACCAAGATTGCCCCTAAAAGTAAAAAATAACCCTGAAATGTCATACTTGACCAAATTACTAGAAAAAGTACATATGTTTAGATTGAACAAAATTACCAAAATGTCCTCAAGCTACGAAATAACTAAAATAACCTCCAATATTCAAATGATTAAAATGCCCCTAAACCCTAAAAAGATCATAATACCTTAAACTCTAAGATGATCGAAGTAACATCGAGTGTTGAAGTGACCTAAATATCCTAATGACTTGAAATAAGTGAATGTCTTTGGATAAATTCTAGAAACACCAATAAACTTAAATGTTGTATCGTACCTAAAGGTTATGGAGCATGACCCAGGCATGCCTAACATTATTGATACTGATACAATATATAAATAAATAATACCATTGGAATACCTATACATCTCCTTGAGAATCGATCTATGATGATTCTCAAGGTGATCGATTCAGTTATGCAATCAGTATTAAGAAGAGAATATTCGTGAAGCATCTCGGTCTGAATTATTGGTATGTATCGCACTGTTGGAATCTGATTAGTCTAATCTTACACAAAATTCGAATAATTCAATATAAATCCTGAATATCGTAAATCATTGTTTACCATTATTGGATTAAGTTACCGAGAATTCTTCAGAAATCAAAATGTCAAAAATGTCCTAATAGATTGAGTAATGAAATCCCTCCTGATATATCTATATGAATCTTAACCACTTCCAGATATATCTGAATCTTAAATTATTCTGATATAAAGGTTCTTGAACACTTTCCTGTGCACCTGAATCTTAAATGGTCCTGAAGTATCAATTTTAAATGTCTGAGTAGACCCGTTAGTAATTGATCCCTTTTAATAGTGACCTCATTCCTTAAATCTGATTAATTTACATAAGTTTCATGGTTTCTGTTCCTGATAACTATTAAGTACCTCCGAAAAATATCAGGATCCTCTAGTGTGTTTCTCGTGTACAAAGATGTTTTCTCTGTTTTACTAAAAGTTTGACTCTGTTATTTGAAATAAAAACATGATTTCTAATTTCTGATATAACGTACAATTGACTCCTAATTTAGAATATTACTGGTATTGTTTGAAACTATTTTATTTGGATATTATCTGGGTAGTTTGGAGTATGGAGGTTCAACTCTGATCAAGTTGGCAAATCCTTACGGACCTAAAGTGACCTTTAGGTAGACTCTTAGGCACCGAGATGTTTTCTTGGGTATGCTCTAATGCCCCCAAGGTATTCCTTGGGTAGGCTCTAAGGCCATAAGGGCATTACCTTAGGTTGGCTTCTAGGTCCCATAGACCTAGGGTAAGCCTTTATAGATGTGGTTATGGGGATCTGCATATGGTGTAAGGTAGAGGACATTTACGTGATTTAAATAATTATGTTGTCATTTTTACAATATTTTACTGGATCACGATTATGATATTATAGTTTACTACTCAATCTGACTTCTACTAAGATATTGTATGGGTAGAAGTTTGGAGTACATATGTTTAACTCTGATCAAGTCGGTAATTCCTTACGGACCTAAGGTAAACCTTGGGTAGGCTCTCAGGCCCCAAGGTACTCCCTTGGGTAGGCTCTAAAACCCAAGGTATTCTTTAGGTATGCTCTAAGGCCCCAAGGCATTCCCTTATATTGGCTCCTACGCCCAATGGGACTAGAGTAAGTCCTTATGGACGCAATTCTAGGGAACTATATATCGGTATTTGGTTTAAGGGTTTTATAATTATTTAAAAAAAGTGTTTTACTGAAATACTCTACTATTGTTTTTATCTATGATTTCATTTATTCTGATTTTGAGGGAACACATTAGACATCCTATTTTGATCTCCTGAATATGTTTCTCTAAAAGTTTCCTCTGAACTGTAAGCTTTATGTCTATTACCAGAAGAAATATCAGTGGAACCTCAGTTCGTCACAAAAACCTATAGATGCTTGAATCAATAAGGAAAATTTTATGTTGTATCATATACCTGCTTGTCCTCTAACATTTATCTGGTAGTATTGTATTACTGAGCTTCCCAAATCTCACTTTGTTATTTACTATTTCAAGTTAAAGATCGATTATATGCGTTTATCGACATCAGTATGGGAGTTCCTTCAGCACTGCTTGAGAGTACAGTACAAGTGTAATTAAGGGCATGTAGGTTACATTTATTTTTACATTGAGTTTGTATCTTATTTTGACATGGGACTCTATTGGATTCTATTTTAATTGTGAATGATTTTTCTAAAGATGTGTTTTTATTTCTAAATTGTTTTATGGTTTTAAATGGTTTAACAAAAATTTTGTTTTTCCTGAATTTTTACTGTGATTCGCTTCAATAGCCCTAATTGTCAAAACGATATTTTCCCGACGAAAACAATTGTCGTTATTTTATAAATATCATCTCGAAAAAGTAAGTGTTTTTCTTCTTACATAAGATAAAACACAATTTGAGGAGTCGCCACCAATCATTGATCGAGGTGTGATTGGTCACCAAAAACACTTGATTATTTTAATAAAATTTATAAAAATATTATTAAAACAACACAAAAATTGTCTGCTTACCAGAAAATGAGTTCGGGAGTCGGTTACGTGTAGTGAATGATTAGCACTCCCACAACGCCCAAAATTGGTACATTTGTTCATTAATTAAATGTCTTTGCAATAAAATTTTACAAGTTTGAATTTAATTTAATTTAATTTATGATCTCTCCAACAAACATCAGGGTATTATTTTATACCAATAATCATTTAAAATATATTCCTAATAAGTTAAGGAAATATTTTATGATTCATTGTATAAAATAATATAACTCGAATACATATAATAACTACAATAAATTAAATCATGAAAAATATCAAAATTCTAGGTATTAACAGTGTAATTTAACCATAAATAATTATACGGGATTAAAATATAAATTATTAAAAAATAGGGACTAAAATGGATATTTTACCTTAAAATATATAGAAATATTGTTAGTGATTAAAAAGAAATAAAATAAAATGTGAATGCCAAATTGAAATGCACATAAATATAATTTCAGTGACTAAATTGTAAGGAGTACAATATATAGGGACCACAGATATAATTTATCCATGCATAAAATTACGTAGAGGCCCCTCTTGAAATGACGTAGTTTTGATTTGGGTATAAATACCCATCTGGCCAGCCTAAAAGGCCAAAATTTCTCATTTCTCTCTTTTACTTCTCTCTAGATTTCCCTCGTCGGAGGGAAACCGGTCATCGGCCAACCACCGTCGACCACCATTTACGGTGGTCAAAATTTACAAAATTACACTGAAATTACATTTTTAACCCTAAAACTGAATACGACCCCTATTCTTCCTAAAACCCCCCATACGCAGTAGATCTAGGCTTTTTACCTTCGATGTCTTAGTTCTCCGATGGCGCGTGGAGGCTCCGACGATCGTGGTAAGTCATTTCCTTTATATATTCTTCTGTTTTTCGTTGTTGATATTTTTTATGGCTTTTTCGTCTCTTACTTGCAGTTATTCGCCTCCTCGTTCTCTTTTTCTCTCGTTGTCTG